TTCCAAGTTTATTAGATGAATCGAACGAAGAAAAACAGCTAGACGACCTGGAAATTTCTTCATTTATTGAAGAAAAAAGGAACAGCAACACGACAACGCGTCAATTCCGTTCCCCTTCGCACACTTCTGTCACGTACTCCGCGTAAATAAATATCCGCGAAATTCGCCCGCACTGAAATAACAGTTTGGCGTGTTAGATAATAAATAACTTATTAGACGTTTTTTTGTGTAGTATCGCTGAGTATTTTTACTCGTTATTAGTATTTTGACTCGCCCTACGTGCTCGTCAAAATACGGCACAACTCGTAAAAATACTCAGCGATACTACACAATAAAATGTCTAATAAGACATATTTACTGCAAAGATCGCCATTATCTTCTATTCATTAATCTGTAGTTCAGATTTAAAATATATATTTATTAACAGTCATTTTTTTCGCAAATTATTCTATAGCCTCTGCTGCTTATTCAATGGAGAAGTGTTACTATGGGAACGTCATCAATGAGAAACTGAGTTTGAACGGAACATACGGAACTCTAGAAAGTCCAAAGGAAGGTTCCTCATACCCGCCGAATATGAGATGTGATTGGGTGATCACTATGCCAGAGAGAAAGATTGTAAAGCTCAGCTTTGATGAATTTCAACTACAACCCGAATACGGATTTTGTAGTAAAGATTATGTAGAGGTTCGAGACGGGAAAGAAAGTTACAGCGCAAGTAAAGGGACATTTTGTGGTCTTTCAACACCAGCGGACATTCTCTCAAGCGGACGGTACATGAGGGTGAGTTTCAGATCCCACTCGGAGTCTTTGTATCACCATGGTTTCAAGGCCACATTCACCGCAGAGGAAAAAGAAGGTAAGTTGCTCAACTTTGTTCATGAGTATTTTAAGAGTTAGACACCTCTTAGTATTTTGAACCGGCCATTCCTAAGGCGGTTTTTCCTAAGCGGTTTTTCCTAAGCGAACAAAGCCGTCCAAGTGGCGAGTAAACAACTTGTTTTCGTTCACCGGATGGAACAATTAAGTTGCGGAAAAACGTCTGATTCGTACAATTTACGGCTTGCAGCTAAATACAACAACGCGACGTCTCAGAGACATGTCTGTGCTCAGATCTTCACCAGTTGAGTGTTTTTAACGCGCAAAGATGCAAATGATGAACTTGTATAGCGCTGGTTTGAGTGAAGGACGTTAAGAAGAATTGATGCTATTCGCCTGCTGGCAGCTAAAATTAAAATTCTGGCTCAGGTTGTTCAAAGGATGGATAACGCTATCCATTAGCTAAATCTCTTTTCGAAGGATAGTACGTTTAGCTCAATCATATCCGCCCGANATGGTCGCTCCGTTCTCGCGGCTATAACTACATTTTACCTCGTATTCGTACGGAACGTTATAAGCGATCTTTTATCTTCTTAGTTTCATTTAGATTATAACTAGTTTTCTCTTTAGTGATAAATTTTTGTAAACCTAGCACGTTTGTTTGCAGACATATGTGTAATCAATAAATAGACTACATGTGCTAGGTGTATAGATGAACGTTGTTGTAATTGTATCAATCAATCAATCAATCAATCAATCAATCAATCTTTATTCCTCCTTAGATAAAAAGACATGTCTTAAGTTACACCAGCCGTTAGGAGTCTAAAAATACATGACATACTGTATATAAATAATAGAAATATAAAAATATTATATTTAAAAATAAGCCTATTACAAATACATTCTTAAATCTGTCAGTCTTTACATGTATTTGTGCCAGCGTCAACAGACCGAACTGTCTGGGTAGGAAAGGCAGGCTTTAAAACGACAAGAAACTGTTATTTAACAAAGCCTAGAAATGTGTTTCTGAACAGAATTTCGAATTTTCAAGAAGTATTTTAACGAGGTCAAATAGCTTTGAAAAGGAAATTTAAAACACTCATCGAGACATTGCTGTAAGCTCCACCAGTGATGAAACTTGTTCTCAGCAAGATACATTCTTCCTATCGAGAAATATTTCCATACAGCTTCATTTCATTGGCAAGCAGATAGCTGAATAGAATAAAAAAGAAAGATGATTCAGGGAATATTCCCGGGGCTTAAGATGTAATTATGGCTTTATTAACAGAGTGAATGACGAAGGCCTAATGTTCGAAACGTCAGCTTGAAACTCATTACGGTGGCCAATTTACATATCAACCCAGTTGATAAAGTCAAACTTACTTTTTTATGCTCTCCCACCNGAAGGTTTAGCTTTATCCCTTTACTACATAATAGATCATCAATATTAAAACCCTTATCAGCCATCACACTATTATTAGGCTCCAAAAGTTCTAAAATTCCACAACACTTTGTAATCTGTTTATCTGAAATAGAACCAGTATATAGTGAGGATACAAGTAAACAAACTTATTTTTCTTACCTTCACTCGGAAATGTTTTATTCGCTACCATTCTGGAAACTAAATTGACTCGACGATCATCACCTAACAATATCAACTTAAAAATAGACAAAACCGGCGTTGAAAGGAAGTTAAAAAAAAAAATGATATGACGTACCAGTTGGCAAAGTGCGGATTACACGAACGCGAAAACACAAGCAAATATGGAGCTTTCCGACAAATCAAAAACAGCAGTAGGTCTGCAACTATTACAGTCGCTCTTTTTGAGAGTTCTCAGTGGATAAAGATCGTTTTGTTCCGAAACAAAGAAGCAAGTAGAGCCAGTGATATTTGCGTAACTCACCTTTCGTCATCTCACGAGGAAGCCATTGTTTCCCGTAGCAACCGACTTCTTTGCCCTCCATCATGGCGGAAAAGATCACGTGACTTCTTAGCGTAAGGAGCCTATTATATCTAAACATATTACTAAATAAAATGAATCGATGTGGAATTCAAGGTAAAACTCTTGACTGGTTTAAATCGCATTTGACGAATTGCAAACAACGGTGCTCAGTTAACGGTTGTCTCTCTGACTTCACCATTCGTAATGTGGTGTGCCACAGAGAACGATCCTTGGCCCTCTTTTATATTTCTCATTTATATTAACGATTTGCTTAACTGTCTTTCGTTCAGTATACCTAGAATGTATGCTGATCATGATATCCACATTACTTATGCTGGTTCTGATTTGCATTTGATTCAGTCTAGTCTATCTCACGACCTTGAAAAGCTAAGCAAATGGCTTGTGTCTAACTGACTTAACTTGAACGCTACAAAAACTGAATTTATGTTGATCAGGCAAGGATTAAGTACTCTATCTGATACACTCGAGCTCTCCATTGATAATATTCCGATTGAAAAAGTTTCTTCTGTATATCGATGAAAATTTAACGTGGCATTCCCACATTGATAAACTGTGTAAAAAGATCGCTTCTGCAATTGGAGCCATAAAGCGAGTTCAGCCATTTGTGCCTCAATCCGCCCTAATTGGTATATGCAGCTCACTAGTTCAATCTCACTTTGATTACTGCAGCCTAGTCTGGGGTAATTGTGGCAAAGTATATTATTTAACTAGCTACAAAAACTACAAAGCCATGCTGCACGAGTCACGAGTTGAATAACTGCATCAGACTATGACGTAGATGTCGTTTCTTTGTTCCATAAACTCAGGTGGAAAGACTTGAAATCTCAACGTCTTAATGGTTTTCAAGTCTTCAATCGGGCTGGCTCCCGAATATCTCACGTCTAAATTTATAAAGCAAAATGAATCAAACTATTCTCTGAGGAACTCGGTAAGCAAACTTGTTGTCCCTTTCCAAGAACTAATTACAGGAAAAATAGTTTTAGTTACAGCGGCGCAACGTTTTGGAACAGCTTGCCCTGTAACCTTAGAGAGTCTGGTTCATTAAACCAATTTAAACGCCTTCTTTATAAAATTTTTAAGCACGGCGTTCATGGAAATCAGATTTTTGAAGTGGCATATTGTAAGTTAATATAATGTTAGGATTAGGATTTTTAGGTTTTAGGAAGTTAGTCATTGTATGAACTTTTTTACCGTGTATAAAAAAAATAAATAAATAAAATAAATATAGATAACTGAGTGCACCGCCATCCGCTATGGTTCTGTCATCAGTGTCACAAACCTATCGGCTAAACGACGATTCACTCACAAGATCGAGGCGGCGCAGCTTTCCCACGTTACAAATACCATTCCGGAATCAGCGTTTTATGTGTGAACCATATAGCCCTATCAAGACTGTTTTTCGTGCCGGAAAGAAACGGTAGTCAATGTTGTTGCTTGTGCTGTGGGTGTTTTCACAAAACGATAAATAGGTACCCATGATTCCACCCACGCCCTGAAAACCGATTAATCTTAATATCGCCAGTAGGGTATGAACTCAGTGTTTACAATCTTAGCTTCTCTTTTCGCTGGAAAGTTCATGACATTTGTGGCAAGTTTCAACGTTTTAAGTAAGTTTTTTAGGCTCAAATTTTAAGTTGTTCCTTGGTTTAGTGGCTAAATTCAGACGTGATGCGATCGACGAAGTTGCATACAACTCGAAGGATATCAAAAACATCGCTGACACTCCTGCAATTATTTGTTACGTTCGAGTTAAAATTAAAACATTTGCCTCAAGGGGGCAAAGAAGTGCTTGAAGCAGCCGTATAGGTGCGGAAATAGTCTCTGGTATTGATTTTTAGTCTATATAGATCTCAATCTCGAATGTGACTTTGATCGAAGCATGTCGCTGCAAGCGAAAGTATAGGACTTTCGTTGATTCCTCTTAAAATTAGATGATTTAAAATTAGTCTGATACACCCAATTAAACTAAATCTCGTCTATTTTGCAAAATTATATCGAAAGTCTCACTCGTGCCTTTATCTGTGAAATCCTCTAGATCATTTTCACAAAGCTTTTGATGTACACTGTACATCCACAAGGTAATAAGTTGAATTTGGCTGAAACGAAGGACTTTGTTATGGGCCGAAGCTATTAATTTTGGTAATATCATAAATATGTAAATGAAGGGTCGATCGTTTGAATTTTAATCGACATTTTAAAGGTTTGGGGTGGCAGCAAATACTGTATGGTTTTTTTTTTATTGGGTTGTGCAAACAGGACTGCTTGTCAATGTTTTTGTTATATTTTGTTTTGTTTGTTTGTCTGTTTTGCAATATTAAGGATAAGCAAGCGGGAAGGAAGGGAGATAATTTGGAAAGGGTGGAGATGGGGGATGGGAGCAGAAGTGCTAAAAGATCAATCAAAGAGGTAAAAATTGCTGATATGTTTCATTATGCACTTGGGAGGTTTGCTAAGCACTCAAGAAGCTAGTCTTAAGCACTCAAGAAGTCTTAAGCACTTAACAAGCTAGAGTCGCTCTCGGCTATCGCCTCGAGTGACTCTTACGCTTCTTTCGTGCTTAGCAACCTCCCGC